CAAGCCCAGCTCACCATGTGGTTTTTTTTAATTTATTTAATTAATTAATTTATTTTTGGCTGCATTGGGTCTCTGTTGCTGCGTGCAGGCTTTCTCTAGTTGCGGCGAGCGGGGGCTACTCTTCATTGGGGTGCGCGGGCCTCTCAGTGCGGCAGCTTCTCTTGTTGCGGAGCACGGGTGCATGGGCTTCAGTAGTTGTGGCACGCAGGCCCAGTAGTTGTGGTGCACGGGCTTAGTTGCTCCGCGGCACGTGGGATCTTCCCAGACCAGGGCTCGAACCTGCGTCCCCTGCATTGGCAGGCGGATTCTTAACCACTGCGTCACCAGGGAAACCCCAACCATGTGGTTTTGTAAGTAAAGTTTTATTGGCACACAGCTCGTTCATTTCTCTACAGATTGTAACAGCAGAGGTAAGCAGTCTCGACAGAGACCACGTGGCCCACAAAGCCTAAAATATTGGCTCTCTGGCCCTTCACAGGAAGTCCGTCGACCCCTGTTTTAGCAGAACACATCTTCCTGGGTCCTCCAGGCCCAGGCCAAATGAATTCCCTTGGCTCACTGACGGACATTAGCACTTCCCAAAACATTTCCCTCCGAAGAACCCGAAGCGAAGTGTACAAAGTAACGAAGCCAGCAGAGATGGAGAGAGGTGTGGGCGACCTCTTAGTTGGCTCAGCCCAGGGCTGGGTGCGGCCAGCTGGTGTTGGGATGGGTCTGGCGTTAGGCCTGCCCAGGGGCGTTAGGATGGCCTCGCTGGGTGGCAGCCACTTGGCTACGTTTGGGGCACAGCATCAAGGAGTCATAACCCCAGCAAGATCTGGCACCAGACAGTGAAGCCCCACATTCTGAACTGAGACCCCCTCACCTCAACCACAGCAGCTGAAAGCCTCGGACTGTGTCTGCTTTGTCTCGGCCCTGCCAGGGCATGAGAGCTGGGCCAGCGTGGCTCCTGCTGTCCCAGGAGGCTTCTGGCTGCTGGGCCTGGTCAGAGACTCTGGCCACAGGACGCCTGTCTGTGGGTGTAGTCCCCCAGAACCCCTTTACCCCCAATTCCAGCTGACCCAGTGTCTGTGGGAAGCGTCTCTGTGCGCCAGCATTTTCTTGATGCGTCTAGTATTGAAATGCCATCTGGTTCTCGTCCTTTCAACTCCAGGAGCCTGGTTTTCCTGCTGCCCCCCAGAGCTGATTGAACCAAGCCCATGGGATATGCCCAGGGAAGAGGTTCAGAGAGGTTAAGTAACGTTATCAAAGGGGCAGAGCCTGGATTTGAATCCAGACAGACTCCAGAGGCCGCGCCACACCTCTCCAGTGGATCCCCACTCTGTTGGTTTACAGTGAGTGCTGGAAGGGCCAGGCTTCCCAGGTCTACATGGTGAGCCAGCCTGCAACCGGAAGGTGGCTTGCTGAGCGAGGGAAAGTTAGGTGCTTTAAATGGTGAGCGACATCAGACTGAGGCCTGAAGCCTGTGTCACCACAAGAGATGAACACTGTACTAGCTGCGTGACCTGGACCAAGTTACTTAACTTCTGGTTCAGAGTCTTCACCTGCAAAATGGAGGGAGTTCCTTATCACTGTAGGTTTATCATGAAAAACAGATGAGTTACTCTATGTAAGTGCTCAGCACAATGCTTGGTGTACAGTAGATGCTGTATAAGTGTTGCTGCTGTGATGATTACCATTACTATCTATCAGGCCGCTCTCCTGGCCAACACCAGGCAAGCAGCCCAAGGGCTTGCCTCTCAGACTTGCATCTCCACGTTTCCTTCTCGCTGTAGCCACTGTAGCCAACGCTGTTCTCCTTTGGAGGCAGTGAGCAGTTCAGCAGAGGAAGCACCAGTGGGGGTGTCCCAGACCTGGTTCCATTTCTGGCTCTGCTACTCTGGCCTCTTGGGAACTTGGGCCAGTTCCTTCCCCTGTCTAAGCTCAGATCCCACCCCTGTAAACTGGGGCAAAAGGTGTGTTCCCAGCTCAAGGACCTGGGTGTAAGTGAGCCACTGTTCACTGTAGGTAAACTGTCAGCATCACGTGTTGACCCTCTGATATTCTAGAAATGTCCACACCATTGATTAGGCTAAGAGCTATTTGCCTCATGATGTTACCGTATCACATCTCACGATCTTAAGTTGTTTTAGGTGCTTTGACATTGTTCCTCCCTCTCGGCAGGAAGACAACTTTTAACCTCATTTCACAGATGAGGAACCTGGGGCCCAGATCACACGTGGCTGTCTGAGCCTGGACGAGAGCCCTCGTTTCTTCTGGTCGCTAAAGGCCCCCGTTCTTCTGGGTTGGAGTTGGGGTGTGAGACTTTTTAAAACAAGGCTTCCTTGCATTTTGCCAGAGCCTGTCTGCCTTCCTCAATGCTTAGGGCTGGACAAGACATTGAGGCCCAGTGGTGCAGTGGCTGGAGACTGGCCTTGGGCTCCCCGACCTGACGTTTAAGGTTCCAGGCCCACGCTGCTGAGCGTGCCGGCCTGGTGAGGATCACGGCCAGCCACCCACATGGCCAGGGGGGAAGGTCCGGGCTGCCTTCTCCAGGGCAGCGATAACCCACGGGCCCTGTTCCAGGCCCGGATCGTGTAGGATTCTCTGTGCTCCAGAGGATTCCTGCGTTTTGCAGACACCTCATTATCCCCGTCCTGGCCAGCAGTGTCCCAGCTCCTCTGTAATCACTCAGGCCCACGCCCAGCAGCACTTCCAGGGCCAGGAAATCACTCCCCTCCCTTCCCCTCCCCTCCCCTCCCTTCCCCTCCCCTCCCCTCCCCCGCCTTCCGCCCCGCGCGGCCGACTCAGCGCCTGCAACCACTCGGCCCAGTGTGGACCTCCTGCCTGCCTAACGGTTCTTTCTTCTCCTCTGATTCTCTTCTCTCCTGCTGCTGCTTGCTCTCGGGGGACTCGGAAGTGTGGCTCTCCAGCTGGGCTGAGTCTCCTAAGAAGAACGTGACAGGTACTGCCTGGTGTGCATGTGTGTGAACATGTGTGTCCCTGGCATGCAGGCCCACGGAGCCGGTGCCCTGTGATGTGTGGCAGCTCTTTGTCAGCATGTTGGCGTCTTCTCGGCCATCCCCTCTGCCTTCCTTTCAACCCTTTTTAGGTCCCAGATCCAGCCTTGGAGCCCTTTGGTGGGTGATGACCACATAGCACAGTGTGTCAGCAAATGCACCCTGGACCCGGAATGTGTGGGTTTAGATCCCGGCTCTGCCACGTCCTGGTCTCGGGTTACGTAACCTCTCGAGTCTCCCTGAGCAGATGCGGCAGCATCTCACCAGGAGCCTGGGGCACAGAAGGTGCTCAGGTGGTGGTGAGGCTCCCATCACCTTCCACCCCGTGAGATGGGCCAGCTGAAGATGATTAGTCTCCCTTCAAGGCTGTTAACCCGAGGCAGAGAGCTGAAGTCTCCAACACCCCAGCTGAGGCAGCGGTGGGTAGTGGGGTGGGGAGTCTCGTAACTGCAATGAAGTCGCAGCCCCCACACCCCGGGGATCCAGAGCTGGGACCTGCCTCTGGTCTCGGGGCTTCAGGACCTTGGGCTTCCTGGGCACCCATAGCCCTCAGGGACTTGGGCTTGGGCTCTGTGTCTGGGCAGAGCTGGGACAGAGGTCAGAGGCTTACCTTTAGCCTTCGTTTTACTGGACAATGGTAGAAAAACCTGGACAGCAGTGTTCTCAGCTGTTAGATGGACATGGTATCAGGTAGAGGGAAGGGATTTCCAGAAGGGTCTTCTAGAAGCCCCTCCATTTTTGTGAGTGCCACCTGGCCCTCCTTCCCCAGCCCAAACCTGAGAGCAGAGGTGAGGGTCGGGGTTGGGGGAGAAAACAGAAAGGTCAGAGGTTGAGGGGAGGGGGTTGGACCAGCCCCTGCCCTCACAGCCGTAGGCAGGGAACCGGAGGTGAACAGCCTGGGTGGGCGGGGCAGAGGAGAAGGCAGCAGGCAGAGGACCTCTTGCCTGTCCCAAGCCCCTCGCAGTCATCCTTCTCATGTTGCCTGTGACGAGGGCCTCGGCCTGAGCTAATCACTGGGCTCCCGTCCCTTTTTTCCCTCTCCCGAGACAGTGAGCCAGAGCCCACTTGGCCCACAACAATACATTTTATTCACCAAACGTATAGCCTGGCTGCCCGAGGGCCTATGGAGAGGCCGGCAGGCTGAGGCTGGCCTGGGAGGAATCAGTTGTGAGAGACTGAAGGGACCTTGGTGGGACACCCAGGGTTTGGGGGATCATGGAGAGCGTGGGGAGCCTGGGACGGGGGCCACCGTAGGGATTGGCTTCTCAGGATGAGCCCAGCTGTTTGGAGAGAGAGCCTGAGGGGAGGCCACGTGGGCTGGGGGAAACCGCCAGACCAGGGCCGGGGTCTTGGGCGAGTCGCCACGTCACTCTGGGCCGGCCTTGGTTTCCCCATCTGGAATGTTGGCAAGTTCAGCGAGACTGGACACTCAGAGGTAAGGGGCTGACGCTGGGGATCCTTGTGGATAAGGGGCCTCAGGCTGCTTGGGCTGGCATCCATGCATAAGTGGGCCCTGGGGGTTCTGACACGGCTCTCCAGCTGGCAAATGCTCGCTGCCTACCAGGAGGTGGGGTCTGAGAAAAGCATGAGAAGGAACAGAGCCATGGCCGCTTCTCCTGGCAACCGTGGCCCTCGCCCTGACCTGCGTGCTGGGGGTTTGTTTGTTTGTTTTTTATAAATTATTTATTTTGGCTGCATTGGGTCTTTGTTGCTGCACGCGGGCTTTCTCTAGTTGCGGCGAGTGGGGGCTACTCTTTGTTGCGGTGCGCGGGCTTCTCATTGCGGCGGCTTCTCTTGTCATGGAACATGGGCTCTAGGCGCAAGGGCTTCCGTGGTTGTAGCACGCAGCCTCAGTAGCACGGCTTCCGTAGTTGTAGGACGCAGCCTCAGTAGCACGGCTTCCGTAGTTGTAGCACGCAGCCTCAGCCTGTCGTGGGCTCTAGAGCGCAGGCTCAGTAGTTGTGGCGCACGGGCTTAGTTGCTCTGCGGCATGTGGGCTCTTCCCGGACCAGGGCTCGAACCCGTGTTCCCTGCACTGGCAGGCAGATTCTTAACCACTGCACCACCAGGGAAGCCCCTGCATGCTGGTTTTGAGGCTTCAGAGGAACCTAAGCCCCGCCTCTCCTCCCCAAATCTCCCATTTCCTGTTTGCTTTGTAAACAGTCTACAGTTTACATAGGGCATTAACCCCATCACCTTATACCATGCTCAGAACAACCCCACAAAGTAGGTACTGTTATTGTTCCTGTTTATGGATGAGGAAGCTAAAGCTCAGAGAGGTTAAGTGTCCTCTGCAGAGTCACAGAGCTAATAAGGACAAGGCAGGACTGGACCTCAGACCCTCAGACTCCAGTCTGATGCTCTCGCGTCACGACTCTCAGGCAATTATTGTGTCCGGTGCCGTGTCCTATGGCTCCAGTCCTGAGGCGTCTGTCTACCCTCATCAGGGAGACTCTTGTCTAAAGCATATGATCTGGTTGGGGAGCAGTGCCCCACAAGAAAATCCAGTGCATGACAGGAGCAAGCACTGTAGCTGAGTGATTGGATGGTTCCTGGAGGGGCGGAGATGGTTGGGTAGAATTGGGGTTGGTAAAGGGGAAAGCATTCCCAGCAGGGGGAACAGCTAAAGCAGAGGCTTGGACATAAGAACCAGCATAGAAGAGTGTGACTGGCACACAGTGGGTGCTTGATATCTGTGTGTTGGATAAATGAACGTTGCCTGGATCAGAGGAGATGTGTGTCAGGGAACTTGGGGAGCTCAGGTTGTCAAGAAAGACTGAGCTTGAATTTGGCCTTTCTTCTTTAGGCAGCAGGGACCCAGTGAAGGTGCTGGAGCAGTGGATTGACTTAGCAAAAGCCTCATTTAGAAGCCTAAGTTGGCAGGCAGGAGCCAGGGGTCCATCCAGTTGGTAGCTAGAGGAATGCAGGTGTGAGGCAAGCGTGGGGCAGGGCTCTGGGGCACTGCCAGAGCCCCAGCAGATCCAGCCAGGGGCTCTGAGAAAGGCACAAAGGTGAGATGGATGAGACCCTGACAGAAGGTCCCCTTCCAATCTGGGAGGGACTCTTCTCTCTATAAGGAGTACTCCCCTTCTCCATGCCACTGCCAAACGCTTCCTATCTGAAGACAGGAGGCTCGCTCCACTGCATCTCCCCCTCCCTCGGGCTGACTCCTTCAGCCCCCAGTTTTCCAGGCCTTGGCTGGGAGGGGATCCAGAGCAGCCTCTGTGGGATGACATCACCCACCGGCCTGCCTGCCGAGTGTTTTCTCATCTGGATACCTGCTCCCAGCTCACACCCGTCCGAGCAGCCCTGGGCAGGCAACACCCTAAGAGGTAGATGCCAGAGAGCGTGAGCTTGTGCTGGCGGAGGGGAGGGCAGTGAGGAAGACAGAGTGTCTGCCTGTGTGTCCATCTGTCCGTCCCCTAGGCTGTGTGCTACTGCCTGTCTTCTGTGCTCTGGAACGCCTGGAGTACATTTTCTTAACTTTTCTACCTGTGTCCCAGAGTGTCAGTCTTCAGAAAGCTCAGGCCAATTTCCACGGGGCAGCGTGGAGGTGGGAGCAGTATGTGGGTTTTTCCCCTTTGAAATCTTGCCTCAGATTTCCTTGGCTTGGATTAAAATGACCTGGTGTCTCCATTCCCCAGCCCCCCGCTTACCCTCTCGAGCAGCTTTTGGCCACAAACCCATCACTCCTTGTTTCTCCCTGCCTCTGTTTCCCCATCTCCCCTTTTTCTGCCTTCCAGAATTTAGTTCTCTAGTTTTCCCAGATTTCGGAGGTGAGGCCCTGCCTGGTTTATCCGTATTGGCTAAAAGCAAGCCGTTAAATCACTGTTCATCTATCTGTCCATTCATTCATTCATTTCCCCAACAGTTACAGAGTGCCTGCCCCCAGTGGGCACTGTGGTCTGGTCAACAGATGCTACAAGAGTCGAGAAGAAACCCACACGCCAGTCTTTATTAAGCAGCAACTATGTGTCAGATGTGGAGTGGGTTGGATGAGGCAGGGCCCCTCCTCGGGGTCAGTGGCTGTCTATAGGCCACACACAGGACCTGAGTCAGGACGCAAGCAGCGCTGTCAGGAGGACGTGGGTTCCATCCCAGCTGTGTGACCTTAGGAAAATTGCCTCATGAGCCTTAGTCTGCCTGTGTGTGAAATGGGGCTAGAACAAGGGCCTACACCTGGGTTGTTCTGAGGATCAGATATGGTCTGCATTAGGTAGTGAGCACTAATGAAAGCTTGCTATTAACTGTCAGCATCATCTGGGCTCTCAGGCTTTGGAAGCTCTCTAACCAGCTGGAGAACTCCTGTCTTCTGTTTGTATCTTGAGTTTTCCTTTCCCACAAACTGGAAAGGGAGCCCCTGTGTCCCACAAGGGCAGGGGCTGGCCCTTTTTGTGCTGGGTGCACTCACTACCAGCCCCCCCTCCCCGGGGACACAGCGGGAGGTAGTCTCTGTCAGCGCCGTGCCCAGCGCTGCCTCTGTGCATCTAGCAGGGGTAGGCACAGAAGCTGGCCCAATCTGAGTGCACAGCCAGGCCCACCCTGCTGCCTAGCTGTTGGTTGCATTTTGGCCTGAAATACAATCTTGGCTTCGGATGGGCTGCCTGGGGCAGTGCCTGTGCACATCCATGTGGCAGGCCTCAGCTGGGACAGGGTCCCTCCTGGGTCTCCAAAGGACTGAGCTGGGGCTGCAGGGGCTGCACCTCATGGGAGAAAATTGCCAGGTGCAGTGGGTTTCTTTCCCTTCCATCGACCCCACCCTAGGTTGGATGGAGCCTCCCGCACAGAAAGACCCAAAGATCCAAGCAGCGTTTCTCACCCTGGCTGTGTATGAGAACCACGGGAGAGGAGGGGGTGTCTAAAAAATACCTGAGGCCAATTCAGTCTGCATCTCTGGGCGTGGGGCTCAGGCATCAGTTACTTTAGAAGCTTCCCATATCTTGTGGGACCAAGTTGAGGATCATCGTGCTAGGAGAATGGGATGTCTGGAAACAAATCAGAGACAGTTCTGTAATGGAAAGAGAGATGGGCTTGAACCTAAAACACTGAGTGAATTTGGTTCTCTCCATAGCAACTGTGTGAGCCGGGGCAAGCCTCTTGTCTTCTCTGGGTCTCTGAGGTGTCTTTTGTGAAGTGGGAAGGTAACAAGGTTGTTGTGGGGACAAAATGGGACAGTGTATGAGCCTGGCACAGAACATTTGCCAAGTTAGACTCAGGCATGTGGGGAAGGTAGCTACGGGCTGAAGCACCAAGGGGGGACCCTCTCAGCCATTTCTATAGCCAGACTGGTGGTGTGAAGCCCCCAGCCTTTCAGGAGACTGGTAGATGTATAGGGTGATAGACACAGAGTCTAAGAAGTATGCTAGGAATTCCTCTATGCCGGGGAGATGGAGAGGGGGGTCTGGGAAGGCTTCCTGTAGGAGGTGACCAGTGGGTCTGTGGTTCATGGATCCTTTCAGCTCCTAGCCGGCCATGTGTTATCTTAGGTGCTGTGTCCCCACTGCACTCTAGTGATGGTAATAGTGAGGCGCAGAGAGCTTTCAGCAGCACATTCAATGCCGCACAGCCAGTGAGCCGAGATGGGCACCCAATCTGTCTACCTTCCAGCCTGGCGTTTGCTTAATAAATGTTGCACTGATTCAGTGGCTAAAGAGGACAGAGAAGCTGCTCGCTCCCTGTCCTCTTCCTGCTTAGCCCCACCTTTTGACCCCTCAAGCTCCTGAAACTGCCAGGAGAGGGCAGCTGGTGGCTTCCGGGAGCCTGACCACAAGCCCCAGCAGAGCTTAAAGGCAGAGGGAGGCTGAGTCGGTCTCCATGTGGCCGGAGGGCGGCAGCCAGGCCGGACGATGCCCCGTCGGGAAGCGGGCCTGGGGGCACGGGCCTGAGGCTGGTCCTCGGGGGACCAGGCCCGTGGGCTCAGTGGCCGCACCTTGGTAAGCCCGAGGGGCAGGAGTGGAGCCGAACTTGAGGAAAAGTTGGCGGGGGGCGAGCTGGGCTCTCCAGCGCTGGCGCTGGGACTTTCTTCTTGGGTTTCAAGTAAACAGTCTCGGCCCTCCTCCCCCTCCCCTGCCTCCACCCCCGGCTCCTCATTCGATGGGTCTCATGTGTTTCTATTTAAGGGCTGCGAGTAAACCCCAGTGATTGGCGGCCTCAAACCCTCTTGACTTCTCGCCTGGGCCCAGCCTGCCGTGGAGCCGTCCTCTCCCGCTCTCTCCCTCTCCCGCCCAAGGGGAGGACTGCTAACTCTCTTTCTCTGGGTTTACAGGGGTTGGGGAGAGGCCCGAGCCCTCCTCCTCGCCTGGCCTTTCCTCTCGCCTCTGCTCCGGCCTCAGCCCCCATGGGCCACCCGCCCGCCCACCCGCCTGCGGCCCTCCCCTCGCACCCCTGCGGCCGAGGGGTCCGGAGAGACCACGTCCGCCCCAGGCCTCTCCTCCGACTCCCTCTCCCTCGTGCCGGGCTGTGATTAATTCATCGCGGCCGCAGGCTTTTTCCTCTGAGTCCCCTCGGCCTCTGTCTCGTCTCTGCCTCTCCCTCCGCGCCCCCCACCGCTGGCCCCCGGCTCCCCATGTCCCCCGGTCCCCGCGGCACAGCGGGCCGGTGTGGGGCCCTGCTATATGGCCTGTCCTTGGGGCCCGGCGAGCTGCGAGCCCTGGCTGCGGGCGGCCCCTCCGAGCGGCGCTGGCGACCGAGCAGCCTCCCCCGAGGCCGATGGACAGGGGGCGCCCCGGCCGCGGGGCCATGGCTGGCCGCTGGCTCACCGCATGCTTTCTGCCCTCGCCAGGTGCCGACACCCACGCCGAGCCCATGATCCTGGAACAGTACGTGGTGGTGTCCAACTATAAGAAGCAGGAGAACTCGGAGCTGAGCCTCCAGGCCGGGGAGGTGGTGGATGTCATCGAGAAGAACGAGAGCGGTGAGTGCCCAGCTGTCTGGCCGGCCACTCGGGCGAGGAGCCCGGCTGGTTTTTGTTCCCCTCCTCCTCCCCCACCTCTGCAGCTATACGTTATTTCCATCTGGCTGGGAGAGGGCCGAGGAGGCTGAAGTTTCCCCTGTTGGTTTGGGCTGCAGGCCAGCAGTTTGCCTGATGGTGGAAGAATGTCTCCACCACTCGGGGTAATTAACTGGCTTGTGTTAATGCAAGGCCAGGGTGGCAGCATGGGCACGACTGTCCAGCCCATGTTCAGGGTCCCTGTGCCCCCTGAGGCCCGGGGGAGGTTGCTCCCAGCTCAGGGGCATCCTACAGCAGCTTCCCCCTTGGGGCCATGTTCCAAATTGGGGACAAGGCCGGGGTGGGAGGACCCGGCTGGTTGGTGGGGAAGGCAGGCCATGATGTCACTGTAGGGGTCCCGGGTCCTCAGGCGGCTTGTCTGAGGAAAGGTCAGGCCTGTGGAGGTTGGCTAGTGTCTGGGCGGTGAGCTGACTGCCCCCTGCTGAGCTGAAGGCCGCCAGGCCCTGGGAAGAGGGCCCAGACAGGGGGATGAAATCAGGTCCTGGGGCCAGGGAGGGTCCTGCAGCAGCCGCCCTGTCATTGGGAACTGAGGCTTTGTCTTGGCTGTCCAGGGGCCTGCCAGTTCCAAGGTTCTCACCATGTAGGCCTCAGTGCCCTTGGCAGCAGGGGTCTCTCGGGTGGAGAGAGGAGGGCCTGAGTCCGTCGGTCTGAGGTGCAGGCGTGTGTGACCCCTGCAGAGCCAGGGATGAACTCTGGCCCAGGATATCCATCATCAGTTTGCTTATGACCTGCTGGCGCTTGAACTGGTTCCTGGGGTGTTCTGTTTTGGTTTCGGTTTGCTGTGGGGGAAGGCCCCCGTGCATGCGGGCACGTTGGAGCCTCTCTGAGCTGTTTGGAGGACACTCCCAGAGGGGAGGGGCCTGTTCTTCTTTTCCTGTTCCACTCTATTCCCCTCCAGTATTTTAAGCTCTGACAGGAAGACAGATCAAAGGCTGTCTGTGCCCATTCTATAGATAGAATAACTGAGGCACAGAAAAATTGAGGGGAAGTGAGTCACCTGAAGTCAAAAACAGAACAGAACGGTTCTTGGGCCCCTGATTCCTATGCCTGTGGGCAGCAAGTAGCTGTAGAGATACTGAGGAAATCCCAGTGGGCCTCCTGGGGGAGGTGAGATTAGGTTCCTGTTGCAGGAGTCTCAAGAGCTGTGCTCTCTGAGAACAGGGCCGTGATGCCAACAAAGACCTGACTTACGGCCCTCTTGGGTCTGGAGTCTTCAAAGCTTGTTCCCCTCAGAGGTGGCAGGCTCTGCCCTTGTGCCTGGTTAGCGGTGGCTGTCACGAGCATAAAGGCCTGGGCCCCTCACCCCAGGTGCCCACACTGGTCTCCTTCCTGCACCGCTTGGCTTTCAGCCTTTGTCACAGTACCAGCCCCACCTCCCCGCCCCCACTCAAGCTGCATTGTCAGAGGGGCCTGGCCCTAGGAACCCTAAGCACCTCAAGACCCAGAGGAAGGGCTCTCTAATGGCGGGATTGGAGACACCCACTGAGGAGAGAGAGAGATGTTTGTTTTGGGGCTTGCTCCAAAGGAAGGCGTGTCGGCTTTTCCATATAAGGTCAGGGCTGCTCAAAAGTAGACGTCTGGCTTAGGGACCCTCTGCCTTGTGTCACCAGCACAGCTGTATAGCCCTAAAGCAGCAGGAGGAGTGAGCCCCCATGTCTCTGGGTATCAGCCACTGGCCAGGATGGCTGAAGAGGAGACCCCACACAAAAGGCAGTCAGCTGTTATCAGACTCCCTGCTTCCCTTTGCCTCCCACCCCACATCCAGGACCCTGCCTAGGAGTGGAGGAGGGAGAGCCTTGACGAAGTGGGGCTTTTGTGGCAGGCTGCAAAGTATTAGGCACCTCCTTCTCCTGAGGAGTCCCCGATGGCTGTTTGAGGGGGCTCGGGTAGCCTGAATCCCCAGAGAAGCCCAGTCTGGTACACTGATCCTCTGAGGGAGCTGCCGTCTCTAGAAGCAGGATTCTGCCCACTACCATGTACCGGCTGGGTGACTTCAAGCCCCTTGCTCCCTCTGGGCCTCAACTTTCCCTTCTGTAAAATGGAGACAGTCTTGTGGCTGCTTGGAAACAGAGCCTGGAGTAGATGACCTCCCCAAGCCCCCTCCCAGATCTGGGCTCCGAGGCTAGGAGACTCCTTAGGGCCCTGGGTGTTGGGTAGACAGAACCCTGAATGTGGCCTTCCCAATTCTCTGGGCTTTGTGTCTCTCCCCTTGATGGAAACAGCTGCTCAGCAGCAGATATGTACACGGGGACCTTGGAGTGCTGTGTCCATGGTGCAAACCCACACCGTCTGTTGCTGTCAGAAACAAGGAGGCCTCCTAGAGTGTACAACCAGCGTAACCAGAGAAACTAAGTGGGTGGAGGGGAGCAAGGAAGAGGGCCAACTGCAGATCCTTGGGAGGGTGGTTTCCCAGTTCAAGGAAGCTGGATGGCTGACGGCAGGGGGAGGGGAGGTGTGTTGGGCATCCTGCAAGCTGGCTTTGGAAGGAGTGGTGAGTGAGGCTTTTGAACTCTGGAACAAAGACACAATTGTAATGCCTTTGACCTTAGGACTTGGTGGGTGTGTTGAGGCGTTTCCACTTAAATTGTTGGGGCAGTAGCCCCAGTTAGCACCACCCTGCCCCCTGGGGCCTTGCCTTGCCTGCTGGGAGCCAGGACTCTGCCTGTGTCCCCTTCTCGCTTGGCTGAAAGCCCCTCGCGTAGAATGTTCAAAGAGGGACCCAGCCATCTCTGGTTCTGCTTGCTCATCAGAGCCCTCTGGCAGGGACCACAGCCCCTGAGGGATTTGGAAGTGTGCTTGTGCCAATGCTCTGTAATCTCATTGGTCTAAAGAGAGATGTGTCTGATGAAAGGCAATTCAGCATCGTAAACAGTAAACACCAGGTCTAGGCCATGCACTTCACATGCATCATCTTACTGGCATCATGGAATGACCCCTTGTGGTAGAAAGCACTCTAATCATTTTGTGGCTGAAGTAACAGGCTAAGAGGTTAAGTCATTTCCCTGAAGTCCCAACAGCTGAGATCTCTCCCTTATACAGAGGAAGTGTGGGGAGGGGTGAGAATGGGCTGATCCTGGGAGGGATCATCACTGAGCTGGTGATGCTGTGACAGGTCAGGGACAGACATGGGCTACCTGAGGGTGGTGTATACCCAACACCAAGGACAAGCCTATTCTAGGGAATGTAAATGGGTAGAAGTCAAAGACACCCACAGTGTTGGGACCTGAGTGGCTTCAGGGAAAGCATTTTTGATCAAACAGTGGGCCTGGGGCCCAGCCAGAAAAGGACTCTTTTCCTTCATTGATCAAGGACAAATCTAGCAGAAAGATTAGCAACTTTGTTAGCTTTGCCAACCATTTTTGTCTTGTCCTTGAAAACCCCTCCACCCTGACATAAGCAACAATGCCTGAGATAGCACCTTTGTAGGACATTCTTACACCTCAAAGACCACATTGGCTTTACCTTCTAGGAGGCAAAATCTGGTCTAACTTCTGGCAGAATGGTGCTGGCAGGGTCCCAGTTGCTCTGATTTCTGTGTTAAGCAAAGCTGCTTCCAACTTTCCAGGATGGTTTCCTTCTCTCAGGGTTAGGAGCCAGGGGAGGATGTGGGGATATGAGTCAGCAGATGCTTATTCTTTTGCTGCTCCAGCTTTCCTTCTCTGAGTCTGTGTGTCTTTCCTGGCACTAGTGTGATAACCCTGGGAGATCTTATACTTCCTTGGAGGCACATAGCTATTCGACTAAGGTGAAAGCATTGTGTTGGCAAGAAGTTTTGAGCTCCTGGTCCACCCAGGTGAGAAATTGTACCGGTGAGAAAACTAAGCCTTGGGGAGTCTGAGAATCTTCAGTCCCCTCCAAAGTCAGTGCTTTAGTCCCAATTGAGTTGTGAGCAGAGGACAGATGCCCACTTAGACTTGCTCAAGAATCTACTGAAAGGATTCGGGAAAATCTCACCAGAATCCCAAGGGTGGGAAGTACATCCCAGCTGCACAAGGACTGGGAACCAGAAAGCTGGCACGAGACAAAGCAGCTACTCTTCTTGGGTACCATGTGGATTTAAAGTCCAGCTGTCATCTTCTCCTAACTGCAGACCAACCTTCCTTGTCTTGCTGTTCACTTGTAACAGTGGCCTGTTCACCTGCTGTTGGTTTATTGAGATAACTGCCACCAGCTGACAACGGTCTCTGGTTCTCTGAGTTCAAAATTTGAAGTTTGAATCTGATTAGTTTCTGGCCAGCCAATGGATGGGCAGACCTTAGATCAGGTGTCCAACCCTGGGCCAATCAGCTGTGTCTGGGGGAAGGGTCATGGGGTATAAACATGGCTACCTTGCCAACCTATTCAGCAGTGGCTGCTGGAGCACAGGTTTTAAGGAGAGGAGGTGATGGGGGGTAAACAACCCCAGAACATGTGGGCTGCATCTACTTTACTTATTTAGCAGCTGTGCGTAGTAAGGAGAACAAAGAATCAGGAGTCTATTAGGTTTAAGATCTAATGCTACCCTAACTGTGTGATATAAGCAGGGATCCATTTCCTCATGAGTCTAAGAGAACAGTGATGCTTCCTACATGGGCTTTGTTTTTTCCTTCAATGAAATGTAACTATTCATTATTTGAGGAATATCTTTATCAAGAAGACAGACTAATGAGCTTTCCCCTCAGGCTCGTGTGTCATAATGATTATTTTGTGTTGTCAAAGACGATGCATTCTTCAGCCATGTATTTTGTGAGTTGGAATCTTCTTAACACTGAAGATGTATCTATTCTGTTACTTAGGTATTTCTTCATGAACGTTGTTATAACTGGTCCTACACGGACTTTTTGTAAGTGAGAAATACACTGTATATACTCATCGTTTATTCATTCTTTCATTTATTTCTCAAGTCTTGAATACCTCTGTTGTCC